CCTGGGAAGAGCAAAACATCGCTTCTCTTATTCCTGCCAAAATTGCACAAAGTCAGTCTAATTTGAGGAAACATCACACAGATTCATACCAAGGGATATTCTACAAAATAATCAACAACTACTTTTCAAGAGTTTCAAGGTCATATAAGACAAGTAAAAGTGAACGACTGTTCAAAATTGAAGGAGGCTAAGGAGTCATGAAAACTAACTGTAATGGACAATCCTGGACAGATCCTGGGACAGAAAAAGGACAGTATTGGGACAACTGTTAAAATCTGAATGAGGTCTGTGAATTACTTAATATTGTGTGAATGTTAATTTTCTAGTTTTGATAAGTATGCTATGATTATATAAGATGCTAACATTGGGGAAACTTGCATGAAAGAAATATAGGTTCTTGAAATATAATTTTTGTAACTTTCTTCAAAAGATCATCTTACTTGTTTGCATAAAAGGCATCTCTGATAACTTCCCACCTAACTCATAGCAAATTCCAAGATTATTAACATGACTTACAAGATGCTACATGATCTAGGCCTAGATATTTCTCTGACATCACTTTTTTTTCATATTTCATTGACACATTGTCCTTATTTGTCCTGCACAATTCTAAGTATGCCTTGCCTAAAGGTTTTGAAACAGCTGTTATCTCTGTCTGGAAGTCATTTCCCCAAGTACCCAAATGGATCACTTTTTTCCTGAATTCCTTCAGGTTTCTATACCCTATAAATAAAATAACAGTCCTTGCACCTCATTATCACTTACTATCCATTTGACCAGCTTTATTTTGCTTCATAGGACATACTATGACTTGATATATTGTGTTACCAGTTTTATTTTTAATTTTTGAGTCTTTCCTCACGCATCAAGCAACATCAAAGAGACCAACTTCATTTTAATTAAATAAGACGTTCTTGGAAAGAGGATGTGAGCATGTGATTACGTTCCTAATTTCATATTCTGTCTTAGTGGAGCCACAGAATTACCAGTAGCAAAGGAAATTTTACAGTAAGTGTTGTGTTTCTTCTGAGTTAACAATCATGTGTACTCTCCCAAGAGGCATTTTTCCTACCTATCATTTAATGAAGAGGACTCGGAGGCCTCGCTGATTCACAATATGAAGGAATTATGTATTTTAAAATAGGAGGAAAGACACTTGATGAGGATAATTTCTGGTAGATGGTGACATAAGAACAAAATAAAGGTGAATTATAAGTTGCCGAGATTTCAGAGTTTGTATTTTACTACACATAGAATTACCTAAAATAATAATGAAACGTGTTTTTTTAAGTAGAGGTTAGCTAAGTCATTGGCTTAGTAGGCAGCATAGAAAATAAAATAAACTCATTTTAAGACAGCCACGTGGGAGAGAGTCCCCAGAGAAACTCCAACCAGCCTGCCCACTGGGGTGCAGCCTCCGGAAGTTCAAGCCCTTTGCAGCTCCTCCTCTTCCTGTGTGGAGCCTGGGATTCAAACTACCGAGTGGGAAGCACCCTAGTAGAGGGACTGTGGCATGCGAGAGTGCCTGTTTCCCCCATTTTTCCCTTTCCCACCCAATAAAACCCTGTTTCACTCACCCTTTAAATCGTCTGCGAGCCTGAATTTTGGCCAGGAAACAACGAACCCTGTTTTTAGCTGAACTAAGGAAGAGTCCTGCAACAATTTCTGACACAGTATTCAAGGCTTAGTATGTACTCTCTGAAGCTATACCTCTAAGGAAATATGTTGGAAAGTGGAATGCTAGTTATCTCTTGTTTTTTCCTAGTAAAAAATAAACCTTTGGCCGGGCGCGGTGGCTCAAGCCTGTAATCCCAGCACTTTGGGAGGCCGAGACGGGTGGATCACGAGGTCAGGAGATCCAGACCATCCTGGCTAACACGGTGAAACCCCGTCTCTACTAAAAAAAAAACAAAAGAAAACAAACAAACAAAAAACTAG